ATCCCCACGATGGGCGGGAAAGAGGAGACTCACCACCAGTTCAGTGAACATGCCGTCCAGCTCCTCCCCTGGGGGCATGGGCAGTGCCGGCTCCATGGTCTGCAGGGCAAAGCTGCTGTTGTTCCGCAGGCGATACGTGATTTCTGGGTGATCATTGTTCCGGAAACAGCAAAAGATGAACGAAATCCCCCGGCCGCCTCTCTTCCGTGGGGCCATGGCTGAATGCTGTTCTAGTCCGTGGCGTGGCTAGAGCCTGTGGAAAGAGCCGTGAAGAACGTTAGCTGAGATGACAAGAAGTTTAAAAGAAAGCAATCTCAGGCTAAGTCATGAAAGGGCACCCTGTGCAGCAAGGGAAGACCAGCCGCAATGGGGGTGGCATCTAGTTGGGCAGAGAGGACATGCACATCTCCTGTTCACTTGTTCAACCCTTCCTATGGCCAACTGCTGAGCAAAGAGCACAGAACCGCAGCCACTCCCCCCCACAGCATCAACGCTGACGGCTTTGGGTTGCTGGCCATGTTTGGACACCACATGCTCTTTCCTGCTGATCTGCTTTGTTCTCGTTAGACCGCCTGCAAGAATGACCTTCTCTTCCTCGTCCCCTTGGAGACCCTTCGGGGATCTGTTACTCATCATTTAAAGTCCATTTCTAATTTCTCTGCCTTGCCTTTCCCCCCATGGGACTAATAATATACGTATGCTAAGACATATAGATCGGTTCCAACACGTGTCACACCCTAAGTTATTTATGGATGCGTCTCCCCGTTACACTAAGAACTCAAGGGGAGGGACTGCGCATCAAGCGATCTTGTGCCTCTAATGCCCTGTACAGTGCCAGGAAGAACGGAGCCACTCAGCAAATGCTTATGATATTGAATAATTTAAACTCCTAACAAAGAAAGAGGGACCAACATGAGCTAAATGGGCCAGAGAGCTTCAAACAGCAAAGTTCAAATGAGTTCACCAATAGGGAAATGGTTTAAAAAAAAATGACGGTATATTCACATAATAGAGTTCTAGGTACTCATTAGGAAGAACAAGATACCTGTGGGTAGAAAAAACCTTCAAGGGACTAAATGATAGGCATACAATGTATGTGTCATATGCTATAGGAGTGCACTTCTTAAAGGGCTTCAAAGCATTCCATTATCTTTAATTTCATTTTTCCTTGAAATTTTTTTTATATCCCTCAGATGTATCATTTATGAATAGATGCAAGAAAAAGTGAGAAGCAGTAATCTCCAAGACAATATGGAATCGGATAACTTTTCGTTTCCCTTCACACCTTTAAATTTCAAAAAAAAAATGATTTCACCGAGTTATTTGTATAGTCCTAAAAAGTTACAGCCATAGGCACGGTCTTGGAAGAAGTTCAAAGTGACACTATTCCAAGGTCATAAGCAAATCAAAGAACAATGCATACAGCATGATGTCGTTATGTCTTTTCAAATCAACTTCGCACAGAAACCTAGATCATTTATGTGTAACTCTGAGAAGGGGGACAGGCAAGAGTGAAAAAAAGGGAAGATTCTTTTATGCATTTTATCATTATTATTAATTTACACTGAGCACATGCCCATGGATAACTTTTATAGATTTTGAGGGGGCAAAAAAGATGGGGTGTGGGCTGAAAAATGTGGAACATGAAATGGCCCTTCAAGAGTTGAAAGGACAGAGGAAACACACTTCCGCAACAGGGAAGAGTGCAGGAACACAGGCACGTTTCAAGGGAAGTCAGCCAGACCCCAGAGGTCAGCTCGGAGAGGTGGGCTGGTAGTGACTTGGAATACCTTTACCGGAGGCTAAGAAGTCTGGATGTCTCCCCTAGGACCCAGAGAATCTAACCTAGGTGTAGACTGGATCCACATCTCACTTAAAAACAAGCATACACGGGGAAATAGATCTATGAGCCTACATTTATAGGTTTAGTATTAAGGTAGCAGAAGGACATTGGGCCTCCACTCAAGTACTCCCTCAACACAAAAATACTTTCTTCTAGTAAATTGGCATTCTATGATGCTCACCTTCCCGACACAACCGCTGAAGACAAAGCGGGT